TTTGCTTTGGATTGCTGAGATATCTAATGAGAGATTCGGTAAGATCTTCCAGCGATTGAGCATTTTGAAAGTCTCATGATAATTTCGTGGGTTTTACAGGATATGCTCTGTGTCAATGGCCAGTTGTGTCCTATGGGTTCTATCCGTTGGAGGTGACGGCCATGAGCTTGGTGATTCTAGACATTTAATAGCCAAGCTAGGTCCTGGCCGTCGGAGTGGTTTGCTATTGTGCATCGTGATGAGGTAGGGGTGATGGTCAACGGAGGGGTTGTATGTAAATCTGAGTTTTACGGGGATGGGCTCTTGACTCCCATCCAACTACTTTGCCAATGATCGCCATCCTGATCCACTTCGGACATGTCGACCATCGAATACTCACTCGGGCCGTCCTTCGACTGTCCCTTCGGATGGCCAGCCGAGCCGAGCTACCCCATCGACCCCATCAATCAAACCACCGCCACAGCCATCCCACACCATCTCGCCTCTTCTCCCGAGCGACCCTCACGGAAAACGCCCTCGGATCTCCTCCAGACGTGGGACTCGATCTTCTCGTGTCGGTCGACCGATCATGACGAGCCAATCGACCAACTGGCGACACTCCTCAATAGGCTCTATCTCGAGGCCGTCTACCTTCCCGAAACATCTGCCGTCGAGCGTTTTGCAGCCCGGGTACGGAACTCGGAAGAGGGTTTCGAGGAGGAGGCTCTGCTAGGACTGTACGAGTCATTCATGATCCCCGAGGAAGCTTTGGTCCGGAAGTGGGGCACTGAGATGGGGAAGATCGCACGGGTGTACGAGGCACGGAGTAAGCGCGCGGTCGACGGAGACGAGGAGCAGGAAGAAGAAGAAGATGAGGAGGGAGAGGCGATCGTGGTGGAGAATGACGAGGAGCTCTTCCATCTCAACGAACCCGAAGCCTTCGCTCTCGTCCTCCAACAATTCTTCAGCCCTGCTCAACCCGACCTCTGTCGTCCTCTCGCCGGCTCTCATCCCGTCCCAGACTCCACCAAGGTCGCCTTCATCAAACCCGACTCGATCGCTCAGCAGCTCGAGGTTTGGGGTACCAGGGAGTCAGTCCCTTCGTCTTATCATCTTTCCTATCCTTTTCATTTTTTTTTTTTTTCAGCTCAAGTTGAAACATCTAGAAAGACGAAAATCGTACTGAGATAATAATCTGTGTTGGATTGTAGGGACTCAACTGCAGATCGTCCTCTTACTAGAACTCATCATCCTGACCAACCTATCATTAGACGCCGGCTCACAGCTACTACACAAGAAGCAACTATCGGCCTCTCACCGGAGAGAGGAAAAGAGAGCCGAATCTGGGTGGGTTGGGAGAAGAGGGAGGGAGAAGA